ATATTTAAAGATATGTAATGAGCTTGCCTATGGTAAAATATATATGCGGTTTTTAACTGGTAAAAAAATTACAACATCTGTGATTTACGGTTTATAATTACCGGATGAAAGCAAAACGGTGTTTACTGTAAACATTATTTTGTGTAATCCAAAATTATCTAGATCACATCACAGCATCCTAAGCATTTTTTATAGCTTGTTGAGTGATCTCCAAAACAGAGTGCGCATTTTRGTGGATCTTAGCGCAAGTTTGGACATGAAAAAGATTGATGTTGTGATCAACATCTGACACAGCGCGAGTGACGGTCACAGTTTGCTTTAGTGTGTCCATACTCCTGGTAATTAATGCATTGAATTATMACTTTAGGTTTGTAGGACTCTTCAACTTTTATTTTGGTATGTATACGAGAGAGGAGATATGGTAAGTATCCTTTCAGTGAGTAGTTGGTTCCAAATCAACAAAGAACAGAGGAAGTAGACTTTTGGTGGCCTTGTGAAGAATATTTGTGACTTGTCTTACCTCAAAGAGAATAGCTTCAAGCTCAGATTTTATAAGATCGTAGGTGTATAGATGGACGGATATGACGAATAATAACACATGTGGGTTTATCTTCCCATAGTTGAAGGTGTGGTATTCAGCATTGCTTTCTTTAAGATAGCGAATAAGTTCTCAATATGATTCAGGGTTTGATATTTGTATTTTTAGGTGGTCACCGGCAAATTTGCAAAAGAAATGGTTGACACCAATTAGATCTATAAGAGCTGAGTAGAAGCTTGTTAAGTGTAAAATATCTTTCATGAATATCTAGGGAGTAGGTTTGATGTAGATAGCGTCATTTGTTTCTTCTGTATCAGAGGTTGCRTCGATATCTATGTCTGGTGTAACATTTTTATTTTTATTTAATGTTTCAAAACGGTTGCGTGTAATAAAATAGTTTTTTGATTGGCGGARGAGTTTTTGGATGAAAAGTGTCAGATGAAGAACTAGAAAATATCCATTAGGGATTCTACGAGGACTTTCAAAATCCAAACCTAACCCTGAGAGTTGCGTTCAGAACTAATTATGGGACTTTTATTAGAATGTGTAGGATTTTTAAACCAGCAGGCTGTATAGTGCTGTTTTTAGTTTTACTCGTATTATCTGGTTCGTTTTGTTACCTTTGTACACGATTTATATCTGGAGTAGACTGCATATCTTACGTGAGCAAGGTCACGAACCGCTGGACAACGCACACAATACTACGATAACGCGACACATTGYCTATGGATCACRCGACGACTGTTAGACAACGCATTAGAATCTAAGTATTACGTAAACGTAAGTAGAATAACACTACGAGAACGGCGTACTTACAAGTTTAAATTAAGTTACTAATTTGCATAGAGTTAACGTCAGCAATTTGTACGTATAAATTTGAACCTAATCGGTTGTGAAGAACGAGAATAACAACGAATTTTAACGGAGTTAAATTAAATTAAATTTTAATTTTAACAGAGACTAACGTAGTACTACTAACTAGTACTAAATAAATAATATAATATGTAAGATTTACYTAAGATATTTGAATTTAATAAATAATAACACAAAATAATATATTGTATTGTAAAATGGTTGTTAGTTGAAGAGCCTAGATCAGATATATTTTTGTGTATAATTAGGATAAATATTATATTTATATGTATTTTATATTGTTATTATTACTTCTTTAATATCTGGTGTTTTAGTTCAGAAAATTGTTGCGAAATACAATTCACATAACTTGTAGCTAAATAATAATAAATACCAACGTTTTATAAAATGATGTGAACAGGTTCACGGTACAAATATATTAAAATTTGTCTAAATAGTTTCTTCATTTAACTGTGCACAGATAATAAAAATAATGCACATGTCTCTACAAATAACGATTAATATTTTTTAAATAAATTAAATAACATATATTATATATTATGTAGTATATTGTATATAAATATCTAATTTCGTAACCAAAATATATTAGTTTATCTTAAAATAATCCTCAATATTATAAAAACATTATTGAATGTAACAAATGAATATATAAGTAGGTAATCGTAGAAATTTTCAAATTTCTATAGATAATGCTTTTATTATTTTAGATAATATTAAATAATATAATGGTCCATATATTTTGAAGAATCTGTAGATTYGTGTGGCCCTTTTCCTATGTAATATAAGTAAACAATTACACTTACGTTATATTTTACAAACATAAACGTATAATATTACAAGGCTTTTGCTTTAAAATATTCCCATGATTAACAAGGTTACTAACAATTATTACACCTATCATACATTCAGTTTTATCTATAAAGTATATTTAATTATATTTTTGAAAAACAATGTTTACCGGTGAATATTATGTGTTGGTATTATAAATAGGTGCAATGAACTATTATTATAGTATAAAATAAAATAATTTTGATTTTTAAAAGTATCCCATTAAATTTACATATAAATCATCGCTGATATAATTCCCTGCATACAATATTGTATATGCTGTGTTAGCAAATTAAATAGTAATACAAACCACTTCTTGTAATGGAATAAACTTCTTTGTTATTTTTATTTAATGTACTTAATAAAATTTTTAAATTATATCGTTTTTAAAAATTTAGGAAAATGTATTCATATAGTTACGCCAGAATTAGTATCACATATACTCGTACTTATCAAGTTTAATATTACCTCAATTATATAAAATACGCAACGACATACAAATGAGTTGAAAAAAATAGCTAAGAGATGCAAGGGTAAATAGCATTACAAATAGTTAATCTATGGTTAACATCAACTGAAAATGTGTAGTCAAAACACGTTGTTTAATAATTATCTTTTATAAATTATAAGTAATTTACTCRTTGAGCCTACGTCATAATCGTCATATGACTTATTAGTACAATCTTACACATATTTCATTATATTCTAACAAAATATTCTTTTATACAATAGAAATAKTTCTATCTATTTCAGTTATGTAATATAATATTTTTCCACGCAGTTCTTTATGATAATTTATGTACCTTTATTGGGGAAAAATTTAAATATTTTTCAATTTTCCTTAGACTTTTTTTTCATTACATATTTTTACCAATTTATAAACTAATTTCAAACCATACTGATTTGTTATGATTCGTGATGTTGAAAAATATAAAATAAATACATTAAATTAATTAATTGCACATATATTTTTTATCTTCATTTTTTACAATATTACAGATTAATAATTGAAGTTGTCAATCTGAAAAATAAACGATGGATTTCTAAAAAAAATTTGGTGAATATTAAAATAATTAAAATTTCATATCAGATAAGCTTAAGTTCTCAACGATTTATTTCTTGACAACGTCAAAGTTGTTATCTTTCAAAGATGCACTTCCAATTGCGACCGAATCTAGACTGGCAGATCCAATGCTAGTGGACTTTAATTCAGATGAGGCTAAATCAGCAGAAACAGTGTTGAATGGAGCTGGTGTCGAAGATCCGAAGAAAGATTGTTGACCGAAATTGTATGGAGCTGCAGATGAACTAACGAAACCTTCTTGGACGACATTTGAGCCGTAGAATCCAGCTGGGCTGACAGTTGAACTGTATGTGCTTATTGGACTAGCCGTAGAGCTGTAGAATGCACCAACAGACGCTGGAGTAGAGCTGTAGAATGCACTAGCAGGCGCTGGAGTAGAGCTGTAGAATGCACTTCCAGAACCTTGAGCTAAACCAGATGAGAAAGCTTTGTAACCAGATTGGCCATAAAGAGCACTAGATTCATATCCTAAAGCGACCGGAGATTGTTGATAATAGTGGACAGTGGCAAAACGTTGAGCCGGGGCTGCAACCGGGACTGGGACCTTAACTTCAACAGGAACTTGAACTGGATATGGCACCCTCTTTTCTACTGGATATGGGACTGGTCTGTCCACAGATACTGGAACTTTAACTTCTACTGGAACTGGAACTTTAACTGGAACGTCATACCTTACTGGGTATGGTACCTTCCTTTCAACGGCATATGGGACTAACTTTTCTACTGGGTATGG